CCCTTCTTCTTCTTCTCTTTTTCTTTTCCTTTTCTTCTTTTTCTTTTTCTTCCCTTCTTCTCTTCTTTTTCCCCTTTTTTCTTCTTCTTCTCTTCTTTTTCCCCCTTCTTCTTTTCTTTTTCTTCTTCTTCTTTTTCTTCTTCTTTTCCTCTTTTTCTTCTTTTCCTCTTCTTCTTTTTTCCTTTTCTTCTTTTTCCCTCTTCCCCCCCCCTTCTTCTTCTTCTCCTTCTTCTTCTTTTTTTTCCCTTCTTCTTTCTTTTTCTTCCCCTTTCTTTTTTCTTCTTTTTTCTTCTTTTCTTCTTTTTTTCTTTTTTCTTTTTCCCTTCCCTTTCTTTTTTCTTCTTCCCCTCTTCTTCTTTTTTCCTTTCTTTTTCTTTTCTTTCTTCCTTTTCTTTCCTCTTTTTTTCTTTCTTTTTCTTCTTTTTCCCTTCTTTTCTTTTCCCTCTTTTTTTTCCCTTTCCTTTTTCCCTTCTTTTCCCCTTCCCCTTTTCTTTTTTCCTGTAACAGCTAGGCTTCGACTCAGCGCCCTTTCGACCCCACACATCCGATTTAAGGTGAGCTCCAAATAAGTGGCCTTCACCGACCATGTTTTGGTTTAGGGGTCACTCAGCCAAAAAGCCAAAACAACCACGCCCACCCCCCCCCCGCCCTCCCCCCCCCACTCCAATGGGCCCCATATCCCCCACAAGGTGAAACCGAAGACATTATATCAGATCCTTGCTACTGCTCACTTCGAACTGCAGCTGCTAGGTCACGTGACGTTCTCATTGACGCAGCTCTGGGGCTGTGATATTTAGTCTCCAAAAAATCACACCCCTCCATCATAGTCGTCCGTCTCCATCGCTGTGGTCGCTGCAAAACGCTGGTATATCTTATTGGTCTGACTAGCAGAGTCTCTAGATGTACTACCCAGTCCGGTGAATGGGACGGGGAGCTCTGAGCGGGACGGACTTCGGCGTTTTGAAATGTTGGGCAGTGCGCTAGAGTCTAATTCCGTAGAACCTATGATGACTGTTGGTATTTGTACCACTAGGTTTTGTAAAGGTGGAAGGATTTGCTGCGATGATGATGGAGGGATGGTGATGGTATTGATGCAATCATACTTGTGACAGCAATTTTTTGGGGCTGCAGGGATGTGATGGGAGTGAGTGGATGTCGAAGAATTGCCCGTTTCAGTAGAATATCATGTTGCCGCAGTAAAATCTGAAATAGAGGTTGTGAAATTGCTAATAAGCACTACGTATAGTAATAAAATGCACACACCACCAACCACCACAACACACACACACACACACACACCACACACACACACACCACAATGGGGGGGAGATAAAAAGGGTTCTTGTGGTTAAGTTTGTCAGTCTGTTTGCCTTTTTGCTCCTTGCACCCTGGTGGGTCCGTGGGTTTAAGTACAGGACCGCCTTGCTGCTGTCACAGGAAGCAGTTTTTGCTGCGATCTCAGGGAAGCTGAAGATTATAGATTTTGCCAGACGTTCTCTGTAGGTGGTTAGTCTTTCTACGAATATACACAGACGTACAGACAGACATGCCGTACAGACAGACATAGCAGACAAACGTACAGAGATAGGACAGGCGTGCAGACAGCCAGAGACGTACAGACAGAGAGACTCACCGGCCCACCGACCGATTGAACAGACAGACAGACAGACAGGACAGACAGACAGACAGACAGACACAGACAGACAGACAGACAGACAGACAGACAGACAGACAGACAGACAGGACAGACAGACCGACAGACCGACCGACCGACCGACAGACAGACAGATAGGACGGATAGATAGATGGATAGAGATAGATTAGATAGATAGATAGAACGAAACGAACGAACGAACGAACAAACTTTATTTTCAAAGGTGTTTAAGAATTGGGCACGCAGGCCCGTCTATACATTCATGCCCTTCCACTCTGCTCCTTTCATACAATGTTTCATTTTTACCTCATTTCAGTAGTTTTAATAGTAATAATAATAATCTTGATAATAATATTAATATTTAATAAAAAGTAGGAATGCACAATTAAAAATTTGAGAAGATAATAGAAAAGAAAAGACAAACGAACAAAAAAAGAGAAGAGAAAAAAAAAAAAAAAAAAAAAGAAACAATCTTAAGTCTTAATTACAAATGCTGGGATGTGCTCTAATTTATACTGACATTACTTGAACGTTCGTTTGAAAGAGTAATTATATTATATAATAAGCCTATTCAAAAAAATGTAAGTCTTACAGGTTGCATAATAATAAACATGCATCAAAACCATTTAAATATTAGTTACAAATATTGGAATGCATTTCGACTGACATCTTTCAGTTTTAACAATAATGAAGCTTTCAGTTTTCAACCTTCACATCTTCAGTTTTAACAATAATAAGCTTCAGTTTTCAACAACCAACCAAAACAAGTTTCCCCAACCCCCCCCCCCCCTCCCCCCCCCCCCCCCCCCCGTTAACCGTTTATAAGAAATACATCAAAGCCTTAAC